TGGAGAGGTGTGAATAATTATTTCGGTGTAGCTGCGGGGATAAATATCATTGCAGCTCGACATCACTGGCCTGCTTCCTCTAAATCGCAACTGAGGTGTCGTGTGTGCTTTTCGCGTGGGAAGCGGTGTAGCGTTCGTACGAAGTGCATGAGCTGCGACGTCGGACTCTGCATTTCGGGATTTTTTCGGCAGTACCATATGAAGGCCACATTACCATAGATGACGCAGGGGGGAAGGCTGTTTCCTCATGAAGATGGTGAACATATATCACGTAAGTAAAGCAAAAATTTAATTTTAAAAAAATCTTTACACGTGTGCAATGCGCGAAATCATATGAGGTCGTTCGGCCATATGACGTCGGTAGATTACATTAGATCACGCAGGAGGGAAGGCTGTCATCTTATAAAGGTTGTGACCAAAAATTATGTAAATAGAAGAACAATTTATATTTTAAATTTAATTTTAAAAAAATCTTTACACGCGTGGAATGCGCGACATCATATGATGTCGTTCTTAAATTTGTCCTTACTTTTAACGTCATATGACGTCCCTAGATTACATTTGATCATGCAGGAACGAAGGCTGTCTCATTATAAAGGTGGTGACCAAAAATCATGTAAATAGAACAACAATTTATATTTTTAATATAATATTGAAAAAAACCTTACACGCGTGGAATCCGCGACATCATATGATGACGTTCGGCCAGCTGCCCTAACTTTTAATGACATCATATGATGACGTTCGTTCGATAAAGGTTAAACTCGTACTGTTTAAAGGTTATGCATCATGTAAGTATCAATAACAAGTACAAAAGAAACAAAAACGAATGGAAAGGTTAACTGAAGGTTTCACTACTGTGGAACAATGATGTACATACACAGAAGACTGCAAATGAGGTGTGGAAAGCAGATAAAATCCAGGGGGGCACTTAGTACATCAGTCATATATCTGACAGTTTCTCAGACAATGAGAATTTAAGCAGTGGAAGTAGATATGGAGGCACACAGCAACTCACAAGAAGACATGCTGAATGAAGAGCAAAGAGACGTTGCCAGGAAAGGTATATAGGTCAGGCTGTTGATATACTTAACACTGTTATAAGAGCTGCAGTCTCTTTTGAAAATTCAATTTTCTGTAATATGGAATGAAAAAAGTAACCACATGGACCAATTCTTAACCAGCATCTCATCTTTATTTCAAACAAATACATTCTTTTTCTGTAAGGTATATAAACTGCACCAGTTGCAACGAAGCCAGACACTGTGAGACACATGTAGAAACATGAAATTACCAGAACTGTGCTGAATCTAAACATTCTTTTCACCTTATTCTTCAGCTGATATTCTTTTGTGTTTAGTTTCCTTTGTGATCAACAACAGGCTCTATGGTCTCCCCTCCACGGATCTGACCCCAACCAATCAACCTGTTTAAAAAATAATACATGAATTGGATAATATTTTAAGTTAATATCATTTATACATTATAATCTGATCTACAAATATGTCTCTAAAATATATCTGGTAAGGTATAGCTGTCTCTGTTCTTAACTAAGATGCATGAGGGAGTGGAGGTATAGATCCATTTTTGACCTTGGAACTAGATAAAGATCAGTGATTAACTTCACGCCCTGGCCACTTTACCCCCTGGATAGTTGGATAGGTAACTGGAAACATATCTGAGGGTGTAAGATTTGAGGCTTTCACGGTGGTGACTATGAAGAAAGCAGTCTTCTGGGATTTGGCACCGTGTATATGTGGTGTTAACCGACGTTTCGGAGGAACGTATCGCCTCCATCTTCAGGGTAGGAGAAAAAATATAAGAAATCTGCAAGCAAAGAGACCATGAGAACCGGTAAAAGCAGACTGTGTGGAAATATACACAGCTATGTGAGAGCAGAGAGGGAAGGGGGGAAGGGCAAGTATACAAGTGAAAGCTGTAGTGTGGGAGGGGTAGGGGAAGGGAGCTGGGACAAGCATGGTTTTTGTGTAGGGGAGAGAAAGGCAAGGTTAAAGGCTGGGCACTAACCTGAAAGCTGAGGGGGGGAGGGTTGTTATGTTGGTTGGTCATGGCCTGTGTNCCCCCCTCAGCTTACAGGTTAGTGCCCAGCCTTTAACCTTGCCTTTCTCTCCCCTACACAAAAACCATGCTTGTCCCAGCTCCCTTCCCCTACCCCTCCCACACTACTGCTTTCACTTGTATACTTGCCCTTCCCCCCTACCCTCACTGTTCTCACATAGCTGTGTATATTTCCACACAGTCTGCTTTTACCGGTTCTC